GTATGGTAGACATAAATGTTCTGCTTACTGAGATTATCTCTGTAGAACTTTTTCATTGAAATTCCATCATTTTATGATGAAAATTCTCTCTCAGAACCACCTGGGCTCGTCTCCCCGCATCCATCATGCTGTCTGTAGTCCGTCTTTTTACGAGATTCTTCGCCTTTCTCACGGGGCGCGGTGTCGCCATTACAGTAACTGAGGAGATTTGGCGTCACGCGATGTGGGACGAAACGTCCCACATGGTCCTCGAAGTTTTAATCATTTTTAATCACTTCACCCTTTTTGACACTTTGTTGATTGGTCTCGACAGTGTTTCCTTTCTCACTGTGCGGATCCTAATGCTTCAAGCATTTAGTTCGCTTCTTTTCCTTCTTAAATTTCATCTTTGAACGGTTGGAAGTTTTCAGTTTGCAGAAATATATCCTTCTAAAAGACTTTGGCAACCTCTTTTTCGTGCTTTTTTCAGATCTCAGCGCAAATTATCCAGAGAGCTTGACGAGCACATAACCGAGCTCATAAAGAAATGTGAGGGGAATATGTGGTCTAAGACTTTGATTGTGGAAATGGATAAATGTTCTGTACGTCAATTTGATTCGAATTCGCTGTTTATTTTACCATTTAATGGTCTTTTTCAGTTGAGAGAAAACTCTTGTCAATGATCTTGTGTGCTTCTAGTTATTTCATCTACATATCGCTGGCTATTTCGACAGAAGTGCAATGTCCGGTCAGGTTTCCTCAAGTTATTCAATGGTGTTTTTCAACTGCTCACTCCAGTTTACAAGCATGGATGCTATAGAGAATTTCTAGTTCTACGTATTCTGTTCAATTATGTATTTAGTCAACATTTGTGAATGGATTTCCAAATTCTTCGGCTGTCCACCATGCTTGCCTTTTTTATTGAAATACACTGTTCAGGTTTAGAGACGAGAGCAAAACTTTTGGCGAAACTATTGGGAAAATTGCTAGTAATTGGTCCATGATGATAAAGAAACAAGGACGATATGTGTCTCCCAATAATTTTCAAGGCACAAGACTCTGATGTACTTGTTCTGTTGTTTTTATTCCTCGAAATATTTCGTAGAATGTAGATTCTTTCACGAATTTCTCCGCCGAGCATTCTAGAAATACAATCGTTTCATTGTTCCAGGAAGTACTAACTGTTGATCGTAATGAAGCTTTTGTGCTTATCGATAGTAATGTATACGTAAGAAAAAATAAACCGTCCTTGCAATCATTCACTTATCCAGTACTAAATGTATCAGATGTTGATCTTTGAATAAACGATCTGCGCAAAAGTTGTACAACATTACTGAAATAACACAAAAAAAAGCCGAAATGTGACCACCAGTATACTGACATGAAGAGTTAACATGCTTCAGAAACAATATTTCGACTGACATTCGAACACACGAAATTTTGACCTTTATCGATGAATTCATATTTCGCCTATTCAGTGGAAATGTTACGGAGTGTGACAATGAACTGTCATGAAGTGCCAATCACTTCATCGTTGCTAAGGCAGGAAGATACTACTATTTTTGTCCCTATATATCTTATGTAGCATAAATGACCTGGGCCAATCCTAATGAATCACAGTTTTAGTTCACATTTTCGTTACATTCTCATTGAGTTTATTATCACTTGGATACTTGGATGGCTCGTCTGCACTTTCAATAGAGATGCTTGACATAATTCTCATTCGTTTCTCTTTTACACAATTTTGCCCGTAGTGATAATCTGTTTCGACCATATGACGTTTGCGAGGTCCGTTCCGTAATAGCGAAATTTACCATGTATGACTCAAACAAAAAGGGGTATCTTGAGTTCTGTGCTCTTTCATGCACACTTTCTAGCGCAAAGTTTTTTGCGTTTGTAGTGAGTACAGTCTTGTTAATGCAAAATAGGCGTTGAAACCAAGACTTCTCTTAGAGCCTCAGAGCAAAGAAAATGCCTAATTTCTGTCATTTCTTTTCGCAGTGCAATAAATGGGATGAGCAGTTTTTAAGAAACCGATGATGCATGCTTACAACGCGCATCTAGTGTGAATGCAAATTGCCAAGGACGTAATCATGCGAAAGCTACGCACATTCTTCTTCTTCCTCTAATCAACCTTTTCATCCATATTTTTGCAAGAACTTCTGAGGCTTTATCACCTAATTTCACTCAAATTGCCAAGTTGACACAAAGTGAATGTCGGCGAAAGTTCAGCAATGGTGACCAATTATACCATCAGGCACTATGACCAAATGCTTAACAAGTTTCCTTTTACAATATAAGAGATGGAAGCTTTATAAAATAACGTAAGATAGTGAAAACAACATTTCGAGGGCACAAGAAAAGGAAATACGGGCTTGAAGAACGAGCAACCATGAACATTAACATGCCTCAAAAAATTACATCACAAATAAATCAATAAGTAGACATGAGAGTCTTGTCTACCATTCACACACTCCAAGCAACCTTATGGCTGATGAGTTTTAATTCTGCCGCCAATCTGAAATGTTCAGAAGGTATCGTATGATACATCTATTTCGAGTGTCACAGCGGAAAATAGGGAAGACTTTTTAATGAGCAATTAAAGTACCTACGCGAACCTCATTTGCTAAGTTATTACCGCTTTACAACGCTGATGTGAGCAGTAGGAAATAGTGGTCAGGGTCGTCATTTATGTGAAGAGCTCGCATTTAAAAGAGAATAATTTCAAATGCTAGAGGAAATATTTATGGCTCTTTCAAAATATTCCCGTTATTAGTTTTCCTGGTTCCGGCGTTCGCTAGTGCTTAGTGAAAAGAAGACAACGTAACTCTATATTCATTAGAAAGTCGTAAATTTCACTAACGCACTGTATCGCTGGTTAACATAGTGCAGTTATATGGAATTCATCAGTCTGTGTAAAGCAAGAAATGACCTTCACTCGAAATAACATGTGCTGCCACTTTACAAAGCCAAAACAACCAGCAGGTTATTGTTATCGGCTTTGAAATGTGTGCTGGTCGGGTAATCTATGAGGTGCGCACCGAAAGGTACAACTCTTTACATTAGATGGCAAGCGATAATGCTAAGGCACCATCGAAGTATCTGCCTAAGCTACTGGAAGCCTCTCCAACAATCCATAGCCTTCTGGTAATGACGCGATATTAGATAAACGAAAAGGATAATGAAAAAGGAAATATGAGACAACTCAATATGTCGTCGGTTCACCGCCGCGATGAGTCGTCGTCAGTCATCGGAAACACGCCGAAACAAGCACAAAACGGTTACACATGGGTAACACTGGCAGCTGTATCACCGAGAGCAGCAGGGCTACCTTACCGAAAACGATTAGCTACCATCAATGTGGCACTCGCGAAATGCGGTGTGTCGAGTCGTGGTCAACGGCGATCCATTTCTTTCAGGCATATGCAAATCCTTTGGAGCACCGATGCTCTTCTCGCATGGACAGTGCCTTCAGCGTAGGATGGTTACCCGACATCGATTCAACAACGGCTTCGTGGGCGATGATGAATGTTTCTACTAGGTTTCGAAGGTACGACGCCGTATGTACACACCAAGCACACATGATTTTTGTGTATCCGTCATCACTCCTATTCTAAATGCTCAAAGTCCATTGGTTCAATAGCTCCCATTTTCAGCAAGTCTTGGTAAATTTTTCTGACAACTTTTGAAGTTTTTCGTTGCAATTTGACTCAACTCTGCTTTATCAAATGTTTAGGACGCAATACATTTTCAGTTTATTGTGTGCTCATTCCCTTATGACAAATTCGTCGTTTAAGATGTTTGGTGCAAATCAGGACAGGCGAAATGCTTCTTTATCAAGAACAGTCCATCCTGATAACAAATGAGGCAGCATTTCAGTCTGTGAGTGCACCTACTGAACAAAATGATCCCAGAGAGATCCCTGTATGGATATTTCTATGGATACTTGAAGGGCCAATCTTTATGGCTCGTGCGAGTCCCAGCATAGTTCAAAAACTTTTCGCTCTAACGTAATTGTCGTTGACGGTGGTGGTCTATTTCTAACATGTCGATGTAGACTAGGGCCAATCCGTTAGTTCAAACTCATTGTCATTTGTGGATGCAAATAGCTGACGTCACTCACAAAGTCGTCCGCTTATCGTTTTAGTGATCTTTCAAGATGACACTTACATTCACTTGAAGTATGTGATAGCCGATCTTCTTATCATGTGACTGGCCATCATTGTTTCGCTAATGATGTAAATATTTCTGAATCACGAGGGATGATTGACTTTGAAGATCTGATCTATGTGAGCCGGCGAGACGTTGCGTGCATTGCCTAAATTTTAGAAAAGATCGTGCAAGCATCCTGTGAGTGGTGGGCAGATTTCTTGATGCAGTTTCAGTATCAGCCCACGTCTCTGCTGCATAACAGAGCGCTGAGAGGACTGTTGAACTGAAAAGGTGAGCGCGAAGTTTGGTATCCGCAACTTGGTCGATAATTTTTTTAAGGTTGCAAATGCGGTCCACACTGCTCAATATTTCCTGTTCAGTTCTTTTTAGTTTGTTGTACTCCATGTTCATTGAACGTCTAAGGTGCACACACGAGGTGATCGCTGTAATCCATACAGTCCAATTTGTTCACCTTCGCGCCATTTCTTCTTCACCAAGTGAGTTTGCGTCTTGTTTACGCATAGCCAAATCTATTTATACACTTCATTGAAATCATTTTATTTAAGCGCCTATAGCGGTGTTATGTTGTTTCCACATACCCAATGATGTAGAGCGGTGTGCAAAAACGTTTGTGTCAGCATGGATTTGAACCCAGATCTTACTCTTTCCTGAAGCATATGCTAAACCGTTGCACCACAGACGCTCGTATTGCGCTCCACTCTTTCTGCGCTCTAACGCGTTACCTGTCAACAGCCAACCGTCTAAGCGTGGTCGGGCAGTGATTATTGACATTAAACTAGCTTTTGCTGACAGATGATATCTATGACAGATAACGCGTTGTAGCGTAGAAAGAGTGGAGTGCAAAGAGAGCGTCGGTGGTGCAACGGTTTATCACATGCTCCCGGAAAGCGTAAGATCTTCGTTCAAATCCCGGCTGACGCAAACGTTTTTGCACACCACTCTACATCATTGAGTTCATGGAAACACTTCACTGAGTTTGTTGAATGCCGTCTCCGTTTTACTGGAGCTTTTCGAAAAGATGACGATGCCATGCGCTAAACAACCGTCGGTACTTATGTGATAGACGGCGACAAAGGAGAAACCGATCTCATTTGCTGAACAGGGGCTTTACATCCAGTGTTAGTGCTCATTTAAAGGCATATATCTCTGGGCTACGGCTGCGCGTGCAGGCCCTTCAAAACACCTTTACCGTCATATAAACTGAAAGAGA